CTGTCAACCTGTAACTTCTGAGAGCCAGGAAGGACAAGGCTGGCTGTGGGGGGAGAGAATGAGAGCAGACAGGACCATCTATTTCAATAGCTGGATAAATGAAAAGGCATTTATTTAACTAGTTATTCTGTGCCAAGCACTGTGCTGAAGGCCGGCGGCTGGCTCCTGGAGCTGGAGCCTGGGCAAGCCACGCCTGAGGTCCCAGGGCTGCTGAGGTTTGTACAAGAATCTGAACCAGGCCCTTTCCCGAGTCCAAGCCGACGCCCCTAACCTAGTTATTTTTTGGAGGGGGGCGATTTAATTCCGAGAGCGTCCTGGGGGGGGAGCCGGCGGCGCAGTAGCGGCCAACAGAACAGAGTGGGCAGGGGCAGCTAGGTGACGCAGTAAATACAGCACCGGCCCTGGAGTCAGGAGGACCTGAGTTCAAATCCGCCCTCAGACACACTACATTCACTAGCTGTGTGACCTTGGACAAGTCACTTGACGCTGACTGCCTCACCAAAAAAAAAAAAAAAAACAGAACAGAGTGGGGAGAGCATCTGTTATGGAGTGTTCTTAGCAGGCTGGCCTCAGTTTGACCCCCAGGATGCCACCAGCCAGTAAGTCCGGCCGTGGACATATGAGATACCGGGCACAGCTTGGGGCTGCCTCTGACGGCTGGCAGCGAGACCCTGGACTGGGCACTGCCCGTGGACACGCGGACACACAACCCCGGCCCGGAGCAGCGCTTGACGCCCTGAGCAATTGACGGGGGGCGTTGAGCCCGAGGGACTCACCAGAGTCCCCCAAAGGCCCCCCGTGAACCCTGCTCCTCCTCCTCTGCAGCTCCTGGACACGGTGACGTCACGCCGGCCCCGCCCCTCACAAATGTGGCACCTGCGGGCCACCGCTCAGGTTCCCTGGGAGAGGGGTCTTTCCAGGTCCCTCCCCGTGCTCAGTGTGGGGGGGCGAGGGAAGTGGGGAGAGGAGGGGACGGGGCCTGCCGCGAGGAAGGAGGTGATGATGGCTGCTGCTTCCTGCTCAGACCCTTCCGTTAAAGGGGGTCAGATCCCAGGGCCCCCGTGGCGGGGGCGGAGGGGGGGTCTGGCAGGCCGAGAGGACACCCCCTCCCCCCGCACCTCCATTCCCCATCTCATCCAACCCCCGCACTTTACAGAGGGGTAAACTGAGGCGGGGGGGCGGTTGGGGCAGACAGGGCACAGAGTGCATTGGAGGACCCCGGGGAGTGGCAGGATCCTCGCTCCTGCCCTGACCTTTGACACTGATCTTGGTCTGACCCGCAGGTCGCCGACCCTTGATCCCACAGCCCTATGACCCTTCCCGTTCACTCAAAGATCCCCAAGCAGTTGACCTTTGACTTCCACTAGGACTTTACTCTTGACTTTAGACCCCACGTGACTGTCACTTTTGATTGCACGATGACATCACTTGTTTTTGACCTCCCCACCACGAGTTGCTTGAGCCTCCCCCATCCCAAGGGGGTTCCGCCCTGTGACCTCTGACCCGGCTCTTCCCCCACCCTCCTCGGGCGCTCTCCTGACGCCTGATGGGGCGGGAGCTGCGGGGCGGGTCGAGCGTCTGCGCACGCGCCAAGGCTCCGCTTCCTTTGTTTCGGGCGCGCGTCACCTGACCGGTTTGGCCGCTCGTGCCTTTTTGGGAGAGGCCCCTCCCGGTGACGTCATTGCCATGGCTGAAGAGCCATGACGTCACCTGATTAGATTTCTTCTCTTCTCCTCCCCCCCATACCCCACTCTGCGCAGGGGGCGGGACCTCCGGGAGCTGACCGCCCCTGGACTGAGCCGGGCGCCGGCTGTTTATCCGCTGCGAGCGTTGCGGCCCGGGGTCGACCAGGGCGTGGCTAGCGCGGAACCCCGGGGTTCCTGCCAGGTAGGGGGAGGGAATGGATCGAACGGACCGGGGAGCTGCCAGCTGTGGGGGCGGGAGGGGGAAGGACGCTGGAGTCATTGCCAGGTGTGGGGAGGGGGAGGGGGGTAGGACGCCGCGGTCTTTGACAGGGAGGGGGACAGGACGCCTGGGTCATTGCCAGGTATGGAGAGAACATCACCTGACCCTGGCCAGGTGTGGAGGGTGAGGACAGGATGCCTGGGTCATTGACAGGTGTGTATGTGGGGGCGGGGGACTGAGGACAGGATGCCTGAGTCCCTGCCACGTGGGGGGAGGGACATGATGCCTGAGTTTCCAACAGATAGGAGGAGGACCAGACGGCCGACTCCAGAGGATGGGGACCAGAATGCCTTTGTCCCTAGGAAAGAAGAGAAGAAAAAGATAGGGGAGGGGTGTTGACCTGGAGGCCAAAGGGCTCAAGTGACTAAGAGCTCAGTGACTGACACCAGAATGCAGACTGAGTGTCTATGGGTGGTCTCAGGGAGAAGGGAGCCTCATTGGCTTGGGTCCTGAATAAGGGGAGGGAGGGGTGATTGAGGACTGAGGTTGGGAAGCCCCAGGCCTAAGGTGATGAGGACAGTGAGCTGAGACCTCAGCTTTTATATACTGAGACCTTGGGACAAATGAAAGGAGGGGATGGGCAGCTGCAAGGGAATTTTGTCTGAGATGCTAGGACAAAGCTGTAAGGACTGAGTCGATGGATAAGGATTGAAAATAGTAAGTCCTGAGCCCTTTTTGGTCCCAGGGCCTATTGTATATATGTCTGGGCTCTGGGGAGGGGGGAGGTGAAGAAAGGAGATGATACCTAGGTCCAGGGGAAAGGTCTAGGGTTGGGGGGGTGGGGGAGAGGAGAACCTGGATTCTGAGTGCTGGGATCTCCACTCACCTGGGCTGAATGCAGAAAGGGAAGAAATTGGAAGGCTGAAGATTTGAGTACTAAGTCTCAAGGAATTAGGAACTCTAGATGCCAAAAGACATAGCTAAAGATATAGCTAAAGAGGACTTTGCCTGGATACTGGAAGACAAGAGGAGGCCTGAGGGGATGGAGGTAAGAAACCTGGTTCCAGATCACTTGGTGACCCCCTTCGCTTCTCTCCACCTGCAGCCCCAACCATGCCTCCACCGAGGGGTGATGTGACTGCCTTATTCCTGGGTCCTCCGGGTTCGGGAAAGTCGGAGCTCATCGCTGCGCTCCGGGAGGCTCCAGAGGCCTGGCATGAAGATGCTCGCGTCTCTGCCCTCTACCCTGCGGGACCTGGTCTCTTCCTGGGCGAGCTGAGCTGCCCTCCGGCAGCGCCCGAACCCTGGGCAGCCGAGGCTGATGTGCTTGTGCTGGTGTGGGGGCCCCGGAGCGGAAATGGGGTTGAGGAAGAGGATGGGTCTCTGCCCGAGGGGTTAGGGGCAGCTGGGCGGGCAGCCCTGGCCCGTGGGGCACCCCTGCTAGCAGTGTGGAGCCGAGGTCCCAGGAATAGGAACGCCGGGAGCCCGGAGCAACCTGAAGACCTGGAGCAGGAAAGGGTGAAGGCGGCCGCCCAGCTGGCTGCTGCCGGGCTGGGGGCGGCGCCACTTTATGTACTGAGTCGGCCTGGACCCCAAGGAACTGACCTGACCAGACTTAGAGAGGCGCTACGTGACCGAGGGGCGGCACTGGAGAGGTAAGACCAGAGCCCCACCCTGCTGCAGCCTTTCCCGTACCTTATGCCCAAGCAGTCTCTCAAGGGTAGGGGCCCTGTTCCTCCCCAAATTTTCTGCTTCTCCCATCTTCTTGACTCTGTCCATGTCTCTCAGAACTCATCTATTTTTTTTTTTTTTTTTTTTTTTTTGCGAGGCAGTTGGGGTTAAGTGACTTGCCCAGAGTCACACAGCTAGTAAGTATCAAGTGATCAGGTGTCTGACTCAGGTCTTCCCGACTCCAGAGCCGGTGTTCTATTCACTGTGCCTCCTAGCTGCCCCAGAGTCCATCTTCCTGACGGTCATATAATTTTGGGGTTGGGGAGGACTGAAGGGGGTGGAGATGAGAGCCCTAGAAGAGAGTTGGTAACCTGGCCGGGGTGAGGGGGCAGATCAGGGAATCCCGAAGCGCCCTCAAATTCCTTCTCAACGCATCTTGCTCTTACGCCCTGGCTCCAACGTTCCCACATGGCGTTGTCCTCCAAGGCTCAGACCATTCATGGTCTTCTGCTACTCCTTGCAACCTCCGCCCCGCGCTCACCCCCAGTCTCTCTATGTTCTGTCCTCCCAGGCTGCTGCCTCCTGCCCAGGAAGGTTTCGAGGTCGTGGGAGGGGCCGAGCTAGAAGCGGTGCGCGAGGCTTTTGAGGCAGGTGGCCTGGAGGCTGCGATGACCTGGCTTCGCTCGGGCCTCGAGCGCCTGGGCAGCGCCCGGGTGGACTTGGGTGTGGCCGGTCCAGAAGCCCCCATAGTCATAGGCTCCCTTCTTGGGCAGGACCCCGAACCCACTCCCTCCTCCCCAGGGCCAGCCCCCTATCCTGCCCCAGAGAGGCCCAATGTGGTCCTTTGGGCACTGCTTGACGACGCCGACGCCGACGCCGACCCCGCCCGCAGCCCTGACCCCGGGCCAGCTCACTACGATGCCCTGGTCCTGGTGGTTCCTGGACCCCCGACGCCAGTCGCTGTAGCCCGTGGGAGGGCGCTGGCGGGCCCTGTCACGCCCCTCTTCTTCGTGAGGACTGACGGCGAAGGCGAAGATCCCGAACCAGAAGAGAATGAAGGGAAATCTGGTCGAGGGGATGGGGAGGACAAAGAAAAAGGTAGAAAGGACAGAAAGAAATGTGATGATGGGAAGAATTCGGGCAGCGGGAATACATCGCCAGATGGAGACCAGAAATCAGGCGGTGAATCTGGAGAGCACGAGATAAAATCGGGCGGTGGGGATGGGGAGGAAGAGGGCTGGGAGGTTCTGAGCACGGAGGATGCAGGGGACGCGCCGCCGCCTGTCTTCCCCCTGCGTCCCGGGGGCCTCCCGGGCCTGGCGGCTGCGCTGCAACGAGCCCTGACCCCAGCCCAGGGGACAGCTCTGCTGCTCGCGCTGCCTCCCGCGTCTGCTCGGGCAGCGCGCGCCAAGGCCGACGCGCTGCGGGATGGAGCGTGGCGCGCAGCGCTGCTGGCCAGTGTGGCCGCCGCTGCGTCCCCGGCCCCGGGGCTGGGACACGCGTGCGACGTGGCGCTGCTGCGGGGTCAACTGGCGGGCTACCGGCGCGCTCTGGGGCTCGAGGCGGCCGCAGTGGCCCGCCGGGAGCTCGCCCTGGGGCTGGAGCCTGGGACTCTGGTGGGGCGCGAGCGCTCTCGACTGGCGCTGAATGGAGCGGCCCGTGGAGAGGTGGAGGCGCGCTTGAGGGGCTGGGCCGGCGAAGGAACCGCGGGCGGTGCGGCCCTGGGCGCCCTCTCCTTCCTGTGGCCGGCGGGCGGCGCGGCGGCAACCGGGGGCCTCGGGTACCGCGCGGCCCACGGCGTGCTCCTGGCGGCTCTGGACGAGCTGCAGGCCGATGCTGAGGCCGTGCTGGGCCCGGGCCCAGACCCTGAGTAAAGACGGCCTGCTAGAAATCCTGGGGTGGATGGGGGAGAAGGACACCTGGATGTTCCGGGATCTTGGATCCCTGGTGCTGACCGGGGACCGGCTGGGCGATCTGGATGCCTGGGTCTTTGAGTGGGTGGAGATCACAATGCCGGCCTTCATCCAAGATCGGGATACAAGATGGGGCTGGGGAAAATGATGCTACCTGGGTCTTGGGATGGGGAGACCCAGCCGGCGCAGAGATCGAGGGACAATGATGAGACTGAAATGGAAGAGAGAAGGGAAGAATCCAGGTGCTTGGGGTGCTCTCATCTTGGGACTGCCTCTCTCTCATTTGTTTTTCTTGGGTCTGCGGTGTGGTATAGTGGGAATACAGGGTCTGGGGATAGCTGTGGACCAGCAGTTGCCTTTATTTATGCATTTAGCCAGTTTCGTCTCTGCCCTCCAACCTCCCAGTCGCGAGTTGACCGGGGGTGGGGGGGGGAGGAATCCTATCAGGGTGACTCCGTAAAGATTGTGTCTCCACCGGAAAGGGGAAGAAATGGGCACCGTCCCTAGATGTTGGCCACCTTGGGGAGCCTGCACGCCCCTACCTGAAGCTCTGCCTCTGCCAGGCCTCCACAAATACTCTGGCCATGGAGGGATCACCAGCTTTGGGCTTCTAAAATCAGACTGTCACAGTCGGAAAGAACCTAAGAAGCCACCTAGTCGGACCTGTACTTGGACAGGAATTCTTTCCATTTCTTTCCCTGGGAGAGCACCATTGATGGAGAACTCATTACTTACCCGTGACAATCCATTGTATTCTTAGGTAGCAGGGGGTCTTGATCATGAATTTGTTGCGTTTTTAATAAATATTTTGATAACATTTCAAAGTCATGTGTTCCTTTGCAATCCTATGTTTGTGTATGCATTTATTTATTTTTGGCTAAGCAATGAGGTTAATTGTGTATGCATTTAAAGACATGCTGAGGTCAGATTGTAAGAGTGCAGGTCTGTTCTACCCTGATTATGCCAATTGTACTGGTGGCAGACCCTCTGAGACACCCGAGAAAGAAGGTCCACAGCCAGTGTGCTTTTATATTATATGTTATGTATTATATACTATACATCAGGGTTTTATTGGGGTTAGTTGAGGGGGTTTATTCATTGGCTCAGCCCTTGGCAGCAAGAGGACAGTGATAGACCTCCAGGCCACCCTTAGACCAGGTCAGATATTACATAGAAACAAAACAAGGAAAGCATAGTGCCATGGGATGGTCCAGGGTCAAGTGCACCTTCTCCCAGGGGATAGTTGGAGCCTCTTTTGCTGTTTACATTAACTGTGGAGCTCTACATAGGTCACCTCCCACACTCTGGCTCCTGTCATCCACTGATCCAGAGGTTTCACCAACTGCTAAAGGGGTCCAGGACATAGAAGATCAAGAAACCCTGCTTTAAAGGTTAGGAAATTTTCCCTTACATTGAGCTGAATTCCCACCCTGTTTCTCCTTGTTCTGCCCAAGGGGACCATGCTGAACAAGTCTGCAGTCCTTCCAGCGGGGACTGATGAAATGATGACAACCCCTATCATGACCTTCCTTCATCTTCACTTTTCCTGGATAAACAGCTCCAGGTCTTTGAGTATTTAGTATGATCTCAAGGACATCACTACCTTGGTTTCCCTCTGCCAGGCATTATTAGGTTTATCAATGTCCTTCCTAAACTGGGGGGGGGGGCTCAGAACTAAATATGATATACCTGAAGACCCTGGCACCATCACTTCCCTTGTCCTGAACAAGATGCCTTCCTTTTCACATGAACTCAGCCAGGCACCCCAGCTTGGACTTGGGTTCTTGATTTTTTTGAACCTAACTATAAAACTTTATACTTAGCCTAGTCATTTTATTAGATTCAGCCCAGTGAGGTTTTTATTTTCCAATTCATCAGTCTCTCTCTCCCAGCCCTGCCACAGCTGCTCCTCCAAACCTCTTCTCAAACTTCACTTGGGCTCCTCCTCCCCTTACTTTCTCAGCTGAGTACCTTATCTCATTTTACAGAAAAAATTGAAGCCATTCACCATGAGCTCTACCTTCTCTCCCCTTCATCTCCCTTCACTTAGATGCCTTCTATTTCTTTTTTTTTTTTAATTTTATTTTGGAGGCAATGGTGGTTAAGTGACTTGCCCAGGGTCACACAGCTAGTAAGTGTCTGAGGCTGGATTTGAACTTAGGTCCTCCTGACTCCAGGGCCAGTGCTCTATCCACCATGCCACCTAGCTGCCCCTAGATGCCTTCTCACATGATGAGGTGGCCTTACTCCTTACCAAGGCTTACCCCTCTACCTATTCAAGTGATCTCATTCCATCCTGTCTCCAACAGCTTTTCTATTCTGCCCTTTGTGGCTAAACTCCTTGAAAAGGCCATCTACAATAAGTGTCTCCATTTTTTCTTCTCACTCTCTTCTTACATTCTTACAATCCAGCTTCTGACCTTACCTATCATTCCACTGGCACTGCTTTCTCCAAAGTTACCGATGGTCTCTGTTGTCAAATCCAATGGCCTTTCTCAATCCTCGTTCTCCTTGACTTCTCTATAGGCTTTGACACTATGGATCACTCCTCATTGATATTCCCTTCTTTCTGGGTTTTTGGGACACCCCTCTCTCTCATGGTTCTCCTCCCACCTATTAGATTTCTTTGTCTCCTTTGCTGGATCTTCTTCCAACTCAAACCCTCTAGCCTTGGGTGTCCCAAGTCCGTCCTGGTATATAGTGGCTATTGTTGGAGAGAGGTTCAATTCCATTCATTAAACATTTATAGGGTGCCTAACCTGAGTCTGGCTCAGTGCTAAGTGCTGGGGATACTAAGAGTGGCAAAAAACAGTGCCCTCAAGGAGCTTACAATCTAATGGGGGAGATAACAAGCAAACAAATGTATGAACAAAGCAAGCTGTAGACAGGATTAATAGGTAATTAAGAGAGGGAAAGTATGGTAATTAAGTCAGGGTAAAGTAATAAGGTAATTAAGAGAGGGCAATTATGGGGGGGGGGCTTTCATCAGAGGATAGGATTTTAGTTGTGACTTAAAGGAAGTCAGGAGGTCAATAGACAGAGTGGAGGAGGGACCACCTTCCAGGCACCGGGAAAAAGAAGGTGGAGTTCCTGGTGAATGGCCTCAATTTTATCTGTCCTTTTCTCTTCTTCTTCTACTACACTTGTCAATTTCATCAGCTCCCTTGGATTTAATTGCCTTCTCTATGTTGATGATTCTTCAATTTACCTTTCCTGCCCCAGTCTCTCTGCTGACGTCCAATCTCACATCTCCAGTTGCCTTTCAGACTTCTCAAACTGCATGTCCAGTGGACATCTTAAATGCGATTTATCCAAAACAGAACTTATATCTTTCCTCCAAACCCTGCCCACCTCCTACCTTCCTATTACTGTAGAGGACAGCACTGTTCTCCTTTCCCTCAGGCTCATAACCTTGAAGTCATGCTGGACTCTCTCTCACTCTCTCACCCCACCCCCCCACCCCCCTATATTCAAGCTATGGCCAAGGCCTGTCAATTTTACCTTTGCAGCATCTCTCAAACACACCTGTTTCTCTCCTCTGACACTGCCAGCCCTCTGATGCAGACCCTCATCACCTTATGCCTAGACTACTGTACTAACGGCTGGGGGGATCTGCCTGCCTCAGGTTTCTCCCCACTGCAGTCCGTTCTCTGTTAAGCCATCAAAGTGATTTTCCTAAAAGACAGATCTGATCATATTTTACACATACACACACACCTCACACAATAATCTCTTTCTCTTCCTTTAAGTCCCAACCCAGTACTTTCCCTCTTAATTATCTCCCATAGATGCTGTCTATAGCTAGCTTTGTATGTACATTTGTTTGCCTGCTATCTCCCCCGTTAGACTGTAAACTCCTTGAGGGCAGGGAGTATCTTTTGCCTCTTTTTGTATCCCTCTTAGCTCTTACCTCCGTGCCTGGCTCTCTGTAGGTGCTAAATAAATGTTTATTGACTTGAAATGAACAATAGCCACTGTACATCAGCCACTCCTCCTGTCTTTGGGTTTGGGTGACCGTACCCTCTCCTGACTCTCATTCTAGATCAGGCTTGCTGTCACCCCGGCTGACTGGCTTCTTCTCTACTCACGTGGCCACCACGCTAGTTCAGGAACTCACCTCCTAGGTGGTCTCCTTGCCATAAGCCTCCAATCATAGCCATCCCTTACACTCCTGCCAAAGTGATACTCCCAAAGTTCAGGGTGCTCTCTTGCTCAACAAGAACAACGACAAAAAAAAAAAAAAAAAAAAAAAAAAGCAGTAGCTCGCTATTTCCTCTGCGGTCAAATAGACACTCCTCTGTTAGACATTTAAAGCCTTTCCCAACCTGGCTGCAGTCTGCCTTTCCAGACTTAAACATTACTCCCCTTCATACACTCTACAATCCAAATAAATCAGCCTGGTGTTTCATCCCACGTCACACACTGCATCTTCTTTCTTTGCGGTTTTGTACAGGCCCAGTCCTTCATGCCTGGGATACACTGCCTTCCTCCCCTTTGCCTCTTATAATATTATAACATTTATCTAATGTCTACTATGTGTCAGTTACTCTACTATGCGCTTTTATAACTATTATTTCACAACTAGCCTAGGAAGTAGGTGTTATTATTATTATCCCCATTTTACAGTTGAGTAAACTGAGGTAAACAGAGGTTAAGTGACTTGCCAGGTTCACACAGCTTGTAAATATTTGAGACTGAATTTGAACTTGGGTCTTCCTGGCTCCAGGTCGTATGGGTCTATCTGTTGCACAACTAACTTCATCTTAGAACTGCAGAAATCCCTCCAGGTCTACCACTAATGGCACTTCCCATGTGAGGTCTTTCCTGCTTTCCCCAGATACTACTGCAGTCCCTCCAATCCCACCTCCCAAATTACCTCTATTTATTTGCATATATTTCTATGTCATATTCCCTGATAGAATGTAAGCTCATTGAAGGCTGGAACATTGTTGTTGTTCAGCGCCGTGGTCCATTTGGGGTTTTCTTGGCAAAGATGCTGAAGTGGTTTGCCGTTTCCTGCTCCAGCTAACTTTACAGATGAAGAAACTGAGGCAAACAGGGTTACGTGACTTGTCCAGGGTCTGGAAACTAGTTAGTGTCAGAGGCCAGATTCGAACTCAGGAAGAAGAGGCCTGGCGATCCATGTATGGCTAGCTCCATTCACCTGACTGTACCATTCTCCAGCCCAGGTTTCCTCCTCTTGCCTCTCATTCCTGTGCTCATCCCCTGACCCTTCAGACTCAGGGGAAAGGCACAGGGGCTTCTTTTCCAACGGATCTCCCCCATTTAAACAAAACCAAAAAAAAAGCCACATAAAATTCAGTATAATTATAGTGACCAAGGAAGGATTGAAAACTACATCCTTCTTTGCAGAGGTAAGATGTGGAAGAGTACATATACTGTCAGACATTGTTGACCTGTTGGTTGATTTTACCGAACTGGTTTTTTTTTCTTTTTTCTTTATTTTATTCTTTGTGACATGGGCTGGATCAGTGGAGAGGGTAGAGGGAGGGATCTATTTGGAAATGAAAGTGATGCGAAGGTATTAATCTCCCTCCCCGCTCCCCTCAAAGGGGCGTTGGTATTTGAACTGCACCAACGCTATTCTTGGACTCTTCTGCCCCTCAGTGTGCAGAGACTGAGATTATCTGAGTTCAGCGAGCCTGGTTGCTGCGTTTCCTAGGCCCGGACCTGAGACCCTGCTCGTCTCTACCTCCTCCCTTACACCCACCGTGATGCCGCTGACTCCCGGGAGACATACTCAGAGTCGATCGTCTGGGGCAACTGGTTTAATTTGGTGACAAGAGGAGCTTGAGGGTGAGGATAGGGTTTGGGATGGGCTCCAGATTCGATGCTCAGTGGACTGAGAGGGTGAGTTTTTTCTCTGCCCAGCCAGGGGGTTGTGGGGCAGGGACACAGTCGGCCCTCCGAAGTTCGTAGGTGTAAGTCACCGAGGGCACCTCACCACCAACCTGGGCGTTGCAGGCGCTCTCACTGGCACATCCACGGGCGGCAAATTTGGTTCTGACGATGCCTGGTGGAGGTGGGGTGGGGTCAGCCTCTGACCTTGGAGCACTACGCCCTACTCCACCCTCTCAGGCACCCGGTTCTCTAATTCTCCCTCCCAGTCAGGGGATCAGGTTGCCTGAGGGACCCTGCCTACTTAGAGACCCGGGTCCCGATGCCCCAGTTCCCTCAGCTACCCAGTGTCCTGGCACCTAGACACGCCTCGCTCAATGACCCAGCCCCAGTGTCTTTCCCTCTCTCCCCGAAGCTTTTCACCTGCATACACTGTCCCCGCGAAGTAGACGCAATGTGTCTCGTTCCCTACGCACTGGACCGGCTCCTTCCCGGAGCAATGTTCGCGGAAGGTGGCCTTACAGGCTGGGCAGCGGAGTCCGTTCCGTGTGCTATTGTTCTTTGGGGCTGGGGTGGAGGGAGGGGGAAAAGATCGCATCTGCCCGGGGCTCGGCTCCGGACCAGAGGGCTCTGAGGGAGGGGGGGGAAGTGGGTGGGAGGGGCCCATTAGCTCCAGCTGAGCTGGTTGACATCCAGGAATACTGGATGCGGGAAGTGGGAGGTGTGAGAGAGAGCCAGCTTGAACAACTCTGGGGTATTCAGAACCTGCGGGCTCGGAGGGAACGGAATGTCTGGGGCCACAGAGGTAGAAGGGTACCCTCTTGGAGTACGGAAGTGAAGAAGGAAGAGCAAGAAGGTCTAAGAAGGTCATGATGGGCAGTTAGACGCTGGAACGGGAGCAGGGGCAATGACTTGGAAGATGAAAAGGAAGGAATGGGACATTTGAGAGGATCGGGCTCAAGGATATGGGAGACGGTCAGGCAGGGAGATTTAACAGGATGAAACGGGCCACCGGGGTTGGGGGTGGGGGAGGGGAAGGGTCCATACTCGGGATGCTGCCCTTGTTACAGCCGTCTTCCTGGCAACAATACGAGTTGGACACCATATGTTCCTCCTGCCCCAGACTGGTGGAGATGAAGCCTGAGTAGCAGTGCTTGTACTTCATGCAGCTTTTGGAGGTGTCCACGGACTCTATGCCCCCTGAGACTGAAGGCAATAAAGGTGTCAGGAACTCTCAGCATCAGCCCCCCCCCCCCCCCCCCCCACGATTTTCCCTTAAGGTCTCTCTCCCCATCCCACAGCTGGGGAGCAGGAGAAAGAAGCTGTATCTGGGATCAACCCTGGATCTGGGTTCAAATTCCAGCCTTGCCCACCTACTGCCTCCATAGCTTGGAACCTAGTAGGTGCTTAATAAATGTTTTTTGACTGACTGACTTTGGAGAAATCGCTGAGTATCCGTTTCCTCTCCTGTGATATGAGGAGGGGTGGAAGTAGACTAGAAGGCCTCTAAGATCCTGTCAACACCCCACGATGTTCACCTCCCCCATATTTGTGACAGCACCCCCCCCATACCTGTGTTAGTCTTTCTTCATAGACCTCTATGACAATTTTAGGCTCTCCCCTCCACCAAAGCTGTGATGGTGTCATCCTCCATATACCTGAGATGCTCTTCCTCCCCACCCCCCATGGACTCACCTCACAGCGGCACCCCTCCCCCCATACCTGTGGTGGACAACCCCACAACGATTAGGCAAGCATCCTTCCCGGCCTCACAGAGTTTCAATTTGCCCTTGCAGGAGGGTCCTGAGTGCTTACACACCTCACAGGTCAGACACTGAGCTGGGGGGAAAGACTGGAGCGTCAGGACCCCTGGGTCTCTGAGGAGGCAGAAGCATGGGCAGTAAAACATATAGGTGTCTGAAGGGATGGGGTGGAGGATGAAGAATCCTGGGTGTCTGAGGGGGCATGGATGGGGAATCAAGACCCCTGGGTCTCTGCCGCAGATCTGGATGACTGAGTTCCTGTGAAGACCAGGTCCTGTGACCTGGGTGGAGCAATGAGGGAGACCCTGAACGTTCACAACCAAACTATGCCCTGGCAGCAGGAAGCCACCCGGTTTGAGGCTACACTGTGTAATTACATAGCTAGGGACGCCTGACTCCAGAATTTGGGCTGGAATGGGAGAGGGATGTTGCTCTAGGTTGGAGGGCAGGTACTTCTTTTGGATTGGGGGAGGGGGTAGCTGTCAAGCACCCAGGAGCTAGCTTTACTAGACATTCTTGTTATCTCAGGGGAGGGACCCAAGGGGTCCAGGAATGAGGTACCTGAGAGCATGAATGATCAAAACTCCTAGGTCCCCAATGTTCTGGTAATTCGGTACCTAGATTTCTAGCTCCCTAAGGGAATGGAGGACCTAAACATTTGTCTTCCCACAAGTGCTGGAGACTCAAATGCCTAGATGCCAGAAACTAAAGGGGCTTGCCTGCAGGATGGAATAAGGAAGTCCAGAGACCGGTGAGAGAAACATATTATGAAGTTACTTTCCTGGAATGATGGAGCTCTTGCTTACTGCTCTCCCCTCCCCAAGTCCTAGAGTCCAGGACCCCCAGCCCAGGGGTTCTGGACTGACACTCACCAAGGGACAAGAGGGTACAGAGCAGGCTGAGGGCCAACAGGCCTAGCTGGGGGCTTCTGGTGATCCTCATGATGTCTGCTCCTAGATCAGGGCCCATGAGTCTTATAGAAGGGCAGGGGCAGGGGGCAGGGCCAGCCCAATCCCTGCCCCACCCCCCAGCCTGGTCCCAGCTACTAGGATAACCTTAGAGGATCCTGGGGCCTGTACTCCCTCCTTCCTCTGCGTCCTTAGCCCATCTCCTGCCATACAGGATGGCAAAGCTTGGAGAGGGGGAAGAGGCCAACGTTGGGAGGAGTCAAAGCCCAGTGTCCCTCATTCTCTTCTGCCCAGCATGAGTCACACCCAACCCTGCCCAGCTTCTCCACCCAGCTTCTCCTTGTCCAGCTTGTCGCTACACATTGCTGTGGGGGCCAGGATGTCTGGGTCCTTCCTCCCCCAACACCTGCTCACACTCCTGCCTTTGTGTGCCGGCTACTTTACCTGCCACCCCTCCCAGTGGTGGAGCAAGGCAAAAGTCCCTGAGAGGGGGGGAACAGGGGGAGCCCCCAGTCACTTCACAGAATCCTCCATTGTCAGAGCTGGAAGGGACTTTGGAAAATAGAATAGCAGAGGACCCTAGAACTTGGAATGTCAGAGCTGGGAGGACCCTTAAAGGTACAACCTCCTCATTTTCTTTTTTCTTTTTTAATTTTTTATTAATTTATTTTAATTTATCAACAATCACTTCCATAAGCTTTTGAGTTTTAAATTTTTCTCCTCCTCCTTCCCCACTCCTTCCCCAAGATGGCAAGCAATCTGATATAGGTTATACATATACATTCCTATTAAACATATTTTCACATTAGTGATGTTATCAGGAAGAATTAGAACCAATAGGAGGAACCACCAGAAAGAGGAAAAAAACAAAACAGAATGAAAAAAAATAGCAAATAGTATGCTTCGATCTATATTCAAACTCCATAGTTCTTTCTTTGGATGTGGAGAGCATTTGCCATCATGAGACCTTTGGAGATGTCTTAGATCCTTGCATTGCTGAGAAGGGCTAAGTCTATCAAAGTTAATCATCGCACAACATGGATGTTGCTGTGTACAACATTCTCCTGGTTCTGCTCACTTCACTCAGGTTCAGTCCATACAAGTCGTTCCAGGTTTTTCTGAAGTCTGCCTGCTCATCATTTCTTACAGCACAATACTATTTCATTACATTCACCTACCACAACTAGTTCATCCATTCTCCAATTGATGGGCATTCTCTCAATTTCCAATTCTTTGTCACCACAAAAAGGGCTGCTGTAAATGTTTTTGTACTTGTGGGTCCTTTTCCCATTTGTATGATCTCTTTGGGATACAGCCCTAGAAGTGTTATTTCTGGGACAAAGGACATACGCATTTTTATAGCCTTTTGGGCATAGTTCCAAATTGCTCTCCAAATGGTTGGATCATTTCACAACTCCACCAACAATGCATTAGTGTTCCAATTTTCCCACATCTTCTCCAACATTTATCATTTACCTGTTTTGTCATGTTGGCCAATCTGATAGGTGTGATGTGGTACCTCAGAGTTGTTTTGATTTGCATTTCTCTAATCAATAGTGATTTAGAACATTTTTTCATATAACTATAGATGGCTTTAATTTTTTCATCTGAGAACTGCCTGTTCATATCCTTTGACCATTTATCAGTAGGGCAACGACTTGTATTCTTATAAATTAGACTTAGTTCTCCATATATTTTAGAAATGAGGACCTTATAAGAGACACTGGTTGTAAAAATTCTTTCCCAGTTTTCTGTTTCCCTCCTCATTTTCTAGATGGAGAAACTGAGATTACTCTGCTGATTCCTTCCTGTCTCAAGGCCTCAGTTTTTCCATTTGTTGGAGAGATGAATTCTAAAATCCCTACCAGCTGAAAATCCATGATCTCATAATTAAGATGGCAACTCCAGCTGGGGAATCTTACATTCCTGTGGCTTTCTCACCCACTTACTGTTATTGCCCTGAGCAAATCACATTTTCTCCTTCCCCTCAGTTTCTGTGCCTGCAAAATGGAATCATTAATGATTATCTCCTGGAGCTGTTTCAAGAAAAGAGCTTGTAAGCTGGGAGACACTGAAGTGGCTGGGGGTCCTTTGTGTCTGAGGACACTTAGGAGGGGAAATAGAGGTTCATAGCATGCCAGGGAAGGGGGCCACTAACACAGGGAGAAGCACTTGAAAGCTTTCCACCAGAAAATTTGACATCAGTGGATGGGAATTTTGTGCCCTGGACCAATCATCCCTGCCTCAGTTTCCATCAGATGGTCAGAGCCAGGAACAGATTTTCAGGTGATTCATCGGACCAAGAAATAGGGACATGACTCCTGGAGACCCAAATTTTGTTCCTTAGAGGGCATCTTGCTCTTGCAAAAGTGGTAGAAGTTGGATGTTAGGTCATTGTAACCAGTGGACCAAAACTCTGGGTTTACACAGGGAGGGTTTGAGTTTGGGGGTGGGGTGGGGAGTTGGGTTGTTAATGCTTTGGTTCTTGCTGCCCACCTCCACACCCTCCAAGGTTCATTCTGGGAAATCTCAGAATATAGCTCCTGGCTAGGGCTCCACAGATGTTGGTGAAAGGGCTTCTCAGATCCTTTACAAGTACTCAAGGTAACACTACATTTATAGGGGATATAAGACCACCTTTATTTTATTCAGTCTGTCAAACAGCCTACTATATGCCCGGCATTATATTAAGTGCTGGGGATGCAAAAAGAGGCAAAACATTGTCTCTGCTTTCAAGAAGCTTACAGTCTAATGGGGGAGAAAACCTGAAACCAAAAATATACAAAGCATGTGATATACAGGATAAATAGGAAATAATCAACAGAGAGGGAAAGCCCTGGGAGTACGAGGGGTGCTATAGAAAGTGGAATTTTGGTTGGGACTTAAAGGAAGCCAGGGAGGTCAGTAGTTGGAGTGGACAGGAGGGCAGTGTCACTGGATTGAAGAGGACACGTTGAGGAGTAAGGTATAAGAAGACTGGAAAGGTAGGAGGGGGCAGGTTATGAAGAGTTTTGAATGTCAAACAATTTGTATCTGATCCTCGAGGCAACAAGGGGTAGGGGAGGGACATTATTGGATCTGTGTTTCAGGAAAATCACTTTTGTGGCTGAATGGAGGACAGACTGGAGTAGGAAAGAATCTCTAGGCAGGCAGACCTCCCAGCAGCTATTGCAATAGTCCAGGTGTGAGGTAATGAGGGTCTGCATCAGAGTGGTGACAGTGTAAGAGGGGGAAAAAGAGGCATATTTCACCCCATAGATAATGCAGAATTCAAAAGTTAGTACCCAACATTAATATGGTGCCCGGCACTTTACAAATATTATCTCATTTGATCCTTACAAGAATCCGGGGGGCAGGTGCTATTATTACCCCCATTTTACACATGAGGAAACGGAGCCAGGCAGAGAAGTGACTTGCCCAGGGTCACCCAACTAGTCAGGGTCTGAGGTTGGATTTGAACTAAGCTCTTCCTGACTCCAGGCTCAGCGCTGTAAGCACCGTGCTGTCCCTTGGCTGCTTCTATTCTGAAGTCTGAGACGTCCCCAGAAAGGGAATAAAACTGTAGGCAGGCTAGACAGGCGATGCCCTGAAATTCTGGTGATTCTGTTTTCCCGGACAGAGACGCCCTGGGAGCTCCGCCAGGCGGTGAGGAAAACACACCTGAGGCAAGCCCCGCCCCCAGCCCCATCTGGTCACCTGCGGCCGTTCTTCACGAGCCTGGGAGCCCCGTCCATGGTGCTCTTCTCTTCTCTCCGGGGAATTCCCTGCCTTTGGATCGCTTGGACCCTCTCACACCCCCTTGCCTTCTCAGACTTGAGCTCACAAGGCAGCCCCCAAAACCGGTGCACCCAGAACGCCCCCACCCCGAGCCGGCTGCGGGCTGGATTCTGGGATCAGCCCGTGTCCCAGCTATGGTTGCAGTCTGGTGCAGTAGGTTTGGGTAAACCATGTCTATAATAAAAGTGCATGCGACTGTCCCCAGGGAGAAAGAATCCCCGAGGAAGCCTTTTTAAGTTAAAACAAAACAAAACAAAACAAAACAAAAACAAAGCAGATAGCGAAGACGTTAGAAACCGTCAAAGAGGAAGCGGGGGGTGGTCTTCGGGCTCCGTGCAGGGGGCTTCGGGGACGGGGCACGCTAGACACGAGTTTGATCCGCATTATGGACCTTTTCTCCATCACTTAACGACGCAAGCCCCGACATGCAGCATTTGCCCATTTCCATTTGTGCTTGCCCCCCTCCCCAACGGAACAGCTGGCCCCGGGGGGGGGCCATCGGGCGCCCCCTCCTCCAGGAAGCCTTTTCTGATCCTTCCCCCAGAATTACTTTGTATCTATTGATCTGTGTACAAGCCGCATCCCCCACCCACAAAACAGGGGGTGGAGAAATGGGAGCTGTGAATGGTATAGCCACCGCCCTTAACTGAATAGCCTGGCGTGTAAATAGCCTGTCGTCAGGGGGCACCCTTCGCAAAACCAGGCCTAGTGCTGGGTGGGGAGGTCCTGGGTTCTAGTTATGCCTTTTGCTGTGTGTGTGACCTCGGGTAAGTCGTTGCCCCTCTCTGGGCTTGTATCCGACCAGGTGGGCTCAGCGCCAGGTGCCTGGACTGGATCTGCGGCTGCCTGGTTTTAATGGAGCTCGGATGGGTCTGCGGGGGCCCACCCACCCCACACCCGCAGGGACGCCTCCAAAACTGAGCCTACTGTGGGGATGCAGAAAAGCACCGGGATCCTCTGACTTGGGCAGCCGGGAGGAGTCGCCCTCGGACAATGCCACCCAATGGGAAAGGAGAACGGGTTGTAGTGACCAATGGGAATGGGCTTCGGAGTCCGGGAGGCGGGAGGGAGGTGTCATGGTAACCTCCTGAGGGCGGGCTAGCGAGAGGGAGGACTAGAGAAGTCATAGAAAAGGGGTAGAGCCAAGGGAAGGTGGCCATAGAGAGATTGGGCTAGAGTGGGGAGTTGGAGAGGGACAGGACTGGGGAGAGGGCGAGGAGAGTAGAGACGAGCGGGTAGAGAGGCCACAAACAAAGGCTGGCCATTGGAGGAACTGCTCGCTCATGGGGCGGGCTTAGAGCCAGGAGAGATCATAGAGAGGGCAATCTAGAGTGGCCACGCTGGGGGCGGAGCCAGCCAGGGAGAGCAGGACCAGTGCGCCTGCGCCATTGCAGGGAGCGCGCGCCCGACTTTGAACAGGCCCGGGAGGCCGCGCGCCTGCGCACTAGTGCTGCCCTAAAAGAGCGGCCTCCTTCTTCCCAGGCGCCGGCCTGGTCCAGACGACTCGGATTCTGAGGCCTCATCCTGCCTGGCCTCTGGCCCCACCATGCCCGAGATCCGCCTCCGTCATGTGGTGTCATGTAGCAGCCAGGATCCGGTGAGGGAACCGGAGGAGGGAGAGGGGCATGGATCTCTGCGGACTTCCGGTTACGGAGGCCCGGCGGGAGGGACTTCCGGTTATCCAAGGGGCTCCAGGAGTGGCTATGGGGGCCACCTGGGGGTGTCTGGAGGCACTTGGAGGTGTCTAGAGCAGGCACCTGGGGTGTCTATAGGAAGCGTCTCAGGTGTTTGTGGGCATATCTGTAGGAAGGACCTGGAGGCGTCTATGAGGGTGTCCATAGGCACCTGGGGGTGTGTGTGGGGGTGGGCCATAGGAGGCACCTGGGGGTGTCTTGTGTCCATAGGTGGCACGTGGGGGTCTCTGTGGGGAGGGTGTCCATAGGAGGCACTTGGGGTGTTTATGGGGGGTGTCCATAGGCACCTGGGGGTGTTTAGAGGGGTGTCCATAGGAGGCACCTGGGGTGTTTAGCAGGGTGTCTGTGGGCGGCAGCTCAGATGTCTATGGGGACAGCCTGGGGATGTCAATGGGAAGCACCTGGGGTTTCTTTGGGGTCCACTTGGGAGTGTATCTATGACATATTTGTCATGTCTAGAGGGGTCCAGGAATGTCTGTAGGGGACTTCTGGGGGCCTAATGGGGACATTTAAGTCCTTGCTGTGGACAGTGATACCTCCACAGAGGCTTCAGGAATCACATTATGGGACACTCTAGGGGTGCCCATAGGGGACATTTAAGACTTCAGGAATGTCTCTCACTGAAGGTGTTTGTAGCAGACATCCGTGAATACCCATGGTAGGTTCAAGAGGGCCTGGGAATGACGTTTGGGGGCCTCTGCAGGTGTCTGTGGGCTCCCTCTCCCCTCTAGAAGGAGGAGATTACAAAGCAGCCTGACCTCTTCCAGGATAGGCCAGAGGGTTGCTAGGGATAGGCCAGAGGGTTGCTAGGTATAGACCAGAGTCTACCTAGATTTGGGTAGAGCCCCTGCCAGTCTCTGCCATGTTGTGGATCGCATGGAGAGCGTTGCCCTTGCCTTCCTGGAGCAGCTTCAGAAGGGGCTGAGGGGTCGCCCCCAGCTGGCTGTCTTGAGGGCAGTGTGACACCCGGGGAGTCCCAGGGTCAGTGCTCCTTCAACATTGTGTTAATGACTTTGGTCAAGGATTGGCTGGCGTGGTTGATTGTCAGGGCAGATGCCTCTGAGCTGGGAGAGATACTGGCCATCAGGAAAGACAAAGAGCTCCTGGGGGACAGACTATCCTGATGGGTCAGTCAGGTCCTGCCCATTTCTTTCTTTTTCTTTTTCTTTTTTTTTTTAAGCAGTTGGGGTTAAGTGACTTGCCCATAGTCACACAGCTAGTAAGTAGTGTCAAGTGTCTGGTCTGAGACTGGATTTGAACTCAGGTCCTCCTGACCCCCGGGCCGATGCTCTATCCACTGCGCCACCTAGCTGCCCCCTGCCCATTTCTTCAGAGCCTGCTAGGTGCCATGCATATGCAAAGAGTGAACCATCCCTCCTCAAGTACAGCTTATGTTCTAGTGGACATGTAGTTTATTTTTACAGAATAAATACAAATAGGGATACACATGAGGCCTTTGGCTCAAGCGGGTCCCAGAGGATGTAAGCTGGGCAGCAACTTTTCTTAACACTCTGATGAAAAGTACGCAGCAACAGTGAAAGCTAAGAAAGTGAGTGCAGTGATCTTGGCACAGGAGGACTGGACAGGGAAGGCAGGCTGGGTGGGGGGGCCCGCTGGCCTCTGGCCCGTGCAACCATTCTCTTCAGGATTGTGGCTAGTTCTGGGCTCCCCAGCCGAGGAAGGACTCAGATGAGAGAAGGCCTGTCCAGGAGAGTAGCATGCGCAGGTGTGTTCAGGGCTTTGAAAGTTGTCTCTAGACCACTTGGCCCCAGGCGGCAGAATAGGAGTTGACAGGATGGACGTTTCCACGCTGAGTAAGGAAAAACTTCCTGACCATTGGAGGTGGTGAAAGAAAGCTGGATGAGCACTTGTTGGCCCCACAAGCCCAGGACATTCCTGCTCGGGTGCACTTCTGGGCTAGGTGGCTCTTGCAGCCGCTTCGGAACTTGCAGATTCTATGATATTGGGCTGGGGCAGGGGTGTCTCTTGGGGATGCGTCTGGGGGGAGCAGGGGAGTTGTGGGATGGCTTTGTGGGCTCCAGGGATGTCTGTGGGGGACATTTGGGGACTCTGCTGTGAATGTCTCATGGGGTCCGATATTTGGGGGTGGGGGAGGCAGAGGGTGGCCCTGGAGGTATCCATAGGGGAGACCTTGGAGGGGCTGGCCCGAGGTTGTCCATATGAGACATCTGCGAATACCTGGGGGTGCTGAGGACATCTGTGGGAGAGTAAGAAGAATGTTTGGGTGAGGGCACATGGTTCTAAGATCGTCCATAGAAGATTCTGGGGATAGCTGCAGGGGGCTTCTGAGATGACCACTGGGATACATCGAGGGACGTCCGTCAGAGCTTCCGGGGGTTACTGCAGACATATATGAGTCCCGGCGGGGGGGGAAGCTTTGCTGTAGGAGTCTTTTGGTTCTTTATAGGGGACACAAAGGTATTTGTAGAGGGGATTTCTAACATCCAGGTGTGTCCGGGGAGCTTTATAAGTTATCTGTAGGGGCGTATAGAAATAGTTATCAGTTGGGGCTGATAGGGGCTTTTGTAGGTTTTGAGACTGTCTCTAGATGCCATTGGGGGGTATCACAAGGGGACACCTAGGAATGGCTATGGGGAGCTCCCAGAGTATCTGGGAGTTTCTGAGCAGCAAATGGATCTGTGAGAGATGTTGGGGAGCTGGGGAGCCCCTGGCAAGATGAGGAGATTGCCCAGGACCCTGCAGGCCAGAGACTGATCTCATTGCTAACCCAGCTCCAGAGGACTCCAGAGGGGTGGGCCCTAGGGGGAGGGGGCCAGAGAAGGGCTGATGTCTCAGAGCTTTGGGCTCACCTCTCTCTGCCCTGCCTCCCCCCCCCCCCAGTTCTCCACACTTCCAGGCAGCTACAAGGTGCAGCGGATAGAGCGTTGGATCTGGAGTCAGACTCAGGTTCAGATGTGGCCCCAGACACTTACTGACTCTGTGACTGGGCAAGTCATTTAATCTCTGTTTGCCTCAGTTTTCCCAGCTGTAAAATGAGGGTAGTAATGAGGAAAATGCCTCCTAGGATTGTAATTAGCACAGGGCCAGGCACATAGGAGATATTTAATGTTTGCTCCCTTCCAGACCCATTCAGCTGAGAACCTCCTGAAGGCTGACACCTATCGGAAATGGCGCTCGGCCAAGGCTGGGGAGAAGCAGATCTCCGTCATCCTGCAGGTGACCCAGGCCTTCGAGATCCCTCCCTCCCCGTCCTGCGGTGGGCAGCCCTCTGCCCTCACCCCCAGCCATCCAGCTCTCCATCCCAGACCTGTCTCTGGAGCTCTGTCCTTTCCCAGCCTAGACCCTGTTGCCTGGGCGAAGAGTCAGGACACTTGGGTTCAGCGGTCAGGATCTTTGTTTGGTCATCTGTGCAATACGGGCTGGGAAGAGGCGGCTGCTAAGGCCAGGCCTGGCCTTCTGCCCTTGCTGTGCCGAGGGTCCTCCTGGCCCTGATGCTGGTCACCCTTTCCTCCCCCCAGCTGGAGAAGGAAGAGCAGATCCACGGCATCGACATCGGGAACGAGGGCTCTGCCTTTGTGGAGGTGCTGGTGGGCAGCTCAGCACATGGCACTGGGGAGCAGGACTACGAGGTGAGGCTGCTGGCCTGGAGGAGCGGTCCTTCCCTTGGGCGCTGTCATTCCTGAGTCCCACACAGGAGGGACGTTCCCCCTCTGCCCGATGGGCTTTATCTCTAATGTTCCATAAGGTTAGAGCTGTCTGTGTCTCTGTGTGTGTCTCTGTGTGTGTGTCTCTGGGGGTGTCTTCTGTCCCCAGGTCCTCCTGGTCACCTCTTCATTCATGTCCCCGTCTGAGAGCCGCAGCGGGACTAACTCAAACCGGGTTCGGCTCTTCGCCGCTGACAAACTGGTCCGGGCCACGGCTGACAAACGCTGGGACCGGATCAAGATCGTGTGCAGCCAGCCCTACGCCAAGGTCAGGGGCCGAGCTCCCAGACACCAGGGCACGGGGGACGAGAACCTGGGGCCCCCGGGGAGTCAGGGGCAAGGCCTGGGAGGGTGGTACAAGGGCTCCCAGCAGGGCTCCCCCCCCCCGAGTCCCCAGGATGGAGGAGTGGGGGCCTCGGACCTGTCTCCTCTCTCCGGTCCCCCAGGACTCTCCCTATGGCTTGAGTTTTATAAGGTTGCACCGCCCCCCCGACAAGGAGGAGCCTGGGGCCGCCTCCTCTCCGGTGAGTGTACTCCGCCTCTCTCTCTTCTGCCTCGGGCCGCGGGGTGCCCCCTCCCCCTAACCTTGCTTCTTCACAGAAGGTGACCAAGTTGGGAGCCTTTCGAGTGAAGGAGGATGACGGGACCAGCAGCTCCCTGAGACCTGGGGCCCTCTTCTTCAGTCGGGTCAGCAAGGCTTCTCCAGGTGAAATGGGACTAGAGCCGGGAGAGAGATGCCTGCCTGGGGCTCTTTAGGGCTACGGGGCCTGGTCCTGGTTGTTCAAGGTGGAGTCAGGACATCTCTAAAAGGGCAGGACCTAGACTCGGGGAGTCGCCAAGTTAGTGGGGCTGGAGCACCGAGATTCCTGGGTCCTCGGGGGGTTGGGCTCCTCGGACCAGTCAGGTTCCGGGGCAGGTCCTGGAAGCTCTGTCTCCTCTACAGCCCCTGCCAAAGACCAGCCAGGCCCCAGCTATGCGGCGGTCGCACTGCAAGCCTCCCAGGGCTTAGCTACTCAATCTCCTCCTCGAATATCTCCCCCCCAGCCCCCATCCTCAAGCAGAGCTCCCAGCAAGGTGAGGCCTCTGGGCCAAGCAGGGGGATCAGGAGATGGGCCTTGTCTCCCCACATGGCTGGCTGGATGGGACGTGGGCTGGCGCTGGAGTTGGAGGAGCAGGGGGCTTTGGATGAAGAGCCATTACCCCCGACACGCAGTGTGCCCATGTACATACACCTTCTTGCCAGCCCCAAGAGTCTCCTAAGGGAAAGAGGAAATTGGATTTAAGTCAGGATGAACCAGGAAGCCCCCAGAGACCCCAGGCCCGTGCAGCCCATCCTAAGCTACCAGCCCCCAAGAAGCCCAAAGGTGAGGCAGATAGAAGAGGCCAGGCTTGGGGTCCTTGCTCCCAGGACCCAGAGTCATGGATTTCTGTGTCTCTTCAGTGCCCACTGCGAGCCCTGCCCCTGCCCAGTGCACTCCACAAGCTGAAAAGAAAGGGGCCAAAGTCAGGGCCGGAGCTGGGCCCGTCCAGCTGGGGAAGGTCCTGGAGGGCGTTGTCGTGGTGCTGAGTGGCTTCCAGAACCCCTTCCGCTCGGAGCTTCGGGACAAGGCCCTGGAGCTTGGCGCCAAGTATCGGCCAGACTGGACCTCGGACAGCACCCACCTCATGTAGGCCGCCCACCCCTCATCCCCCTCCTGCTCGCTCCCAGGAGGCCCAGGCATCATCCTGACCTCTACCCTTTGCCCTTAGCTGTGCCTTTGCCAACACACCCAAGTACAGTGCGGTCCTGAGCCGGGGCGGACGCATAGTGCGCAAAGAGTGGGTGCTGGACTGTCACCGCATGCGGCGGAGGCTGCCCTGTCAACGGTGAGGACCCTCTCAGGGAAGGGGGCTCTGGGCTCTCTTGGCAACAGCCTCGGATGACTTGATGGAGAGGTGGGGGCAAGCGCCTCTCTGACCTCTGACAGCCTCTGCTTCTGTCTGCCCACCTGCGCCCCTCCCCAGGTATCTCATGGCCGGTCCGGACTCTAGCAGTGATGAGGAGACAGCCCCTCCCACCACAAAGGTAAGGTTCATCAGAGGGCTGAGATGATCCAGCAAACCGTCCCCATTCCTCCCCTGCCGCCTCCTGCTCCTCCCTCAGGGGCCAGAGCACATGCAGAGGAAGTGAGTGGAAGCCAGGCCAGATGAGGAGCAGCTGGAGGGGGTAGGGCTGTTAAGCCTGGGTCTGAGGGGGAGGGAGGGGGAGGGGAGAGAGGAGGGATGAGGGGAGGAGGGGAGAGAAGGGAAGAAAGGGGAGGGGAGGAGGGGGAGAGGTGAGAAGAAAAGGAGGGGGAAGTCGCCAACATGGGAGCTCTCTTCTGTCAGAAGGGCCACTTGAGGGAGGAAGGGTTTTGTTCTGTGTAAGGACAAAGGGCCCACAGTGAGAGCCGCCTGGAGGTGGGATGGCCCTGGGTGATGCCTGTCATGACTTTGTCTCCTGTCCCTCTCGTAACACCCCCAGGCAGACCACCAGCCTCCAGGAGCAGGGCCTAAGTCAGGCCCCAGCACTCCGTCCCCTGAAGAGCCGAGGCCGGCCCCCACAGAGCCTCGGGAAGACCCAGACATGGAGGAGGAGTTGGCAGGTAAGGCCCCAGACCCCTCATCACAAGAGGGAGCCCTGGGAGAGAATGAAACCCAGGTCCCTGAGGACTGGGGACGGAGCCTTTGGAGTCAGTGCCTTGTGTTTGTTGAGTGAATGCATGAACGAGTGATTTCTGCCCTCAGATGCTCAGGATGATGGGACTGAAGATTCTGTTGACACAGAGGATGAGCTGAGAAGGTGGGTCAGTTGGAACAGGAAAGGAGAGGTGGGGCGAGGTCCCAGCAATCACTGGGCTCCTCTCTGCACCTCCCCAGGGTGGCCGAGCTGAGGGACCAGAAGCAGCCCCCAGATCCGGGGGAGAATGGAGAGGACCCATATGCCGGGTCCACGGACGAGAACACAGATGACGAAGGCCCAGAGCCATCAGATCAGCCCATCCCTGAGCTCCCAGGTGTCGTCCCCCACTCCCCTCCCCATCTGCCCCACTCAGACCCTCCCCCAACACCCTTTCCCGTGGCCCATCTGCTGGGAAGCCTCTCGTCCCGGGGTCTCACCCCCTCCCCCAGCTGGGCACCCGCTTGCCTGCCTGCCTGCCCCTCTTGCTGCTAGCTCAGCTCAGCACTTCCGCGGTCCCTTACCGCCCCATCCCACGTCCCCCCAGACTTCTTCCAGGGCAAACACTTCTTTCTCTATGGAGAGTTTCCTGGTGAGCAGCGAAGACAGCTGGTGCGATTTGTTACAGCGTTTAACGGGTCAGACTCGAGGCGGGGCATGGGGGGGGCGTGGGGTGGCAGCGGTATGTAAGACCAGCAGAGGCTGAGTTTTCAGGGCTTCTGTGTCTGCCTCCTGGATCCCCCAGGGAGATAGAAGATTATATGAATGACCAAGTCCAGTTTGTGATCACGGCCCAGGAGTGGGACCCCAGCTTTGAGGAGGTGAGGAGCCCTTGCTGCCACACCCTGGGGCAGAGGGGTGGGGCAGGGCTGGAATCTGGCCTAGGTCCCAGCCTGTCCTCTCCCCCACCTCCCCAGGCCCTCCTGGAAAACCCGTCCTTGGCCTTTGTCCGGCCCCGCTGGATTTACAGCTGCAGTGAGCAGCAGAGGCTGCTGCCTTATCAGCTCTATGGGGTGGTCCCCAAGGCCTGACAGACAGACAGACGACCAGGCCTGGCCCGGCTCTTACCCTCCCAGTCCCTCCCACCCCCAGAGTTTAATAAAAGTCACTGTTTGGAGCAGCCCCTGCCTGCCCTTTTCTGAGGCCCCCTGACGTTGAGGGGGTGGGGTAGGGTTGTGGCATCCTCGGTTTCTTTTTTGTTTTGTTTTGTTTTTGGCAAGGCAATTGCGGTTAAAGTGACTTGCCCAGGGTTACACAGCTAGTAAGTGTCGTGTCTGGTCTGAGATCAGATTTGAACTCAGGTCCTCCTGACTCCAGGGCCGGTGCTCTATCCGCTGCGCCACCTTGCAGCCCCTCAGGATCCTCGGTTTCTATCCTGACCCCTCACCCTTTGTCAGAGGCCCTGAGTCTCTGGATAAGTCTCCCTGATTTCATGAAGGAGGCTCTGGGGAGCTGTTGGCGTTGTGCCTGTGGAGTGGAGAAGCCCCTTTTTTGGGGGGGACACCCATGGGACACAAGCTTCCAAGTAACACTGCACTCCCTGCCTAGACTGCCCATGGGAACAATGCCCCCCAGTGCCTACACAGAACCCCAGATGTAGAAAGTGTCTCTTTATTGGCAGCAGGGGAGGTGGAGGAAGGCAGGCGAGGGGCTGGGGGGATCTACCACTGCGGGGCAGGGTTCAGGCCCGCTCCCCCTTTGCTCCCTTCCCAGCCTTCCCTTCTCCACGGTGGCTCCGCTGGTGGAGGGCCAGGAGTCGGCGCTGGCTGAAGGCTTGGCCACAGCTCGGGCAGCGATGCTGAGGGTCTGCTGGAGAGGGAGGTGAGGGGGGAGCTGGGATAGGGACGCGAGTAGCAGTAGAAGCGTGGCGCCGCTGGTGGGCTGCCAACTTGGAGGGGTAGCAGAAGGACTTGGGGCACTGAGGGCAGGGGTAAGGGCGAGTGCCGCCGGCATGGGTGTGTCGGTGGGCAGCCAGCTTGGAGGGGTAGCAGAAAGACTTGGGGCAGTCAGGGCAGGGATAGGGGCGGGCAGGTGAATGGGTCCAGCGATGGGCAGCCAGCTTGGATCGGTGACCAAAAGCCTTGGGACAGTCCGGGCAGGGGAACGGGCGGGCACCACTGTGGGTGAGGCGATGGGCAGCCAGCTTGGAGGGGTAAGAGAAGGCTTTGTCACAGTCAGGGCAGGGGTGTGGGCGGGCCCCACCATGAGCCAGGCGGTGGGTGGCCAGCTTGGAGGGGTAGGAGAAGGCCTTGTCACAGTCTGGGCAGCGGTGAGGGCGCTGGAGGGGGGGTGGGCGGCGGGCCCTGGACGGTCCGGGGCGCTCCGAGGCAGCTGCTGGGCTCCGCTTCGGCTTGGAGGCTTTGCTGGAGGCTGGGGATGGGGATCAGAGGTGCCGAGGGCTGAGTGAAAACTGCCCGTCCACGCAACTCTTGCCCTTGGAGGAAGGCCCCCTGCGGCCCCCAGCCCTCCCACGGGCACCTCCCACGGCCTTCTCCAGGATGGCTTCCTCTTTCCCCAGCCCTTCGTATGGGACCCCCCTCTCACGGACACCAGGCTCCCGCCCCCCCCTTCCCGGAGGGTTCTTTTCTGGGGGCGTCTGCTGCTCACCCCCTCCGTTGGTCACTGACTCCTTGGCAGAGGGGCTTCTCCCTCTGCCTGCAGGCCCTTGCTCCCCTCGCTCCAGCATGATGCCAGAGGGGCTGGAGCTGGGAGAGGATAGAGGGGCACTCAGTCAAGGCCCCCCATGTGTGCCCCAAGGAGCGGGCGGATGCTTGGGCGGGGAGGAGGGTCCTTCAGTTCATTGGAAGAAGCAGGAAACCTTCGTGGGGGTGGGGCCAATGGAGCTGCAGGCGGCTGATCGGGGGTGGGATCAAGCCACGCTGGGGGCGGGGCCTCGGATCTCCAGGAGGCAGGGCGGGGGCGGGGCCGCGGGTGACCGGAAGGCGGAAGGGGCGGGGCTTCCTCCTAGGGGTGGGGCCGTGGAGGATCTGGAAGCTGATGGGGCGGGGCTATGGATGACCGGGGACTGCCCTATCGTTCTGGGGCGGGGCCACGAAGTCCGAGGGCGGAGTTACCCTGTTCCGGGGCTCAGGCTCGCTCCGGGTCCATGGAGGGCGCGTTAACCCCTTCGTTCCTGTGGCCGCGTCTCATCGCCAGCGCCTGGCGGGGAAAGGCGCGAGGAAACCTGGAAGGGGAAGCAGCGCGAGCGGCCGATGCGAGGGGGACCCAGGCGTCCGGCCTCCACCCCCTGAGAAGCCCGGAGTCGGGCCCCAGCCTTGTCCGCCCCACCCACGGCCCAGGGCCCAAGACTCGGACCCTGACCCCGACCTCTGGACAGCTCCTCCCTAGGGGCGGGGCTCCGGCCCCTCCTGTCGCCCCCGCCGCCGCCCGCTGCTGCCGCGCTGCTCCGGGGCCTCTGCGGGGGCTTGCAGCTCTGAGCGCGCGCCCGAAGAGTGGGCGGGGACGGAGCCCCCCCGCAGGCCGCTCGCGCGCACGTGCCCTGCGTTCTACTTCCTCCTTCACCGTGAGAAACGGGGGCGAGCACACAACGCAGGGCGCGTGCCAGTCTCTATAGCTCGGGACGAACAGGCGCATGCGCTGAGGGGAGCTACCGGGCAAGAGCCGAACGGTAAGTACTCAGAGTAAACAGATAAGGCCGAATAGCGCACTACGGTGGCCTCCCTGGATCAAGATTGTCTGACGAGATCGCTGCGCTTTCTGTTGCTCTCTAGGGTCTCTGTCATATCCCTTGCCTGGACCTCCTTTTCTTCTGGCCCAGGGTCCTCAGGCCGGTCCTTCCATACGTCCAGCCTTTGTGGCTGGAAAGTCGCTCCTCCTCTCTGGGCCTCAGTTGCCCTATCTGGTGTACCAGAAGACCCCTGAGTTTCCCGCCAAGCTCTACGTCTCTGCTCAGCCAGAGAAATAGAGACAGAGAGAGACATGGAGAGCCCCAGAGCCCGGGGCGGGGGGGGGAGGGAGTTGGGGCAGCCAAGCGGCGGTGTCTGTTTGCATAAACCCACTAGCCCCCCATTACAGCCGGGGGGCACAGGCAGCGATAGGGGTGGGGCTCTGGGTCTTCAGCAACCTGGCTCCCTAAGGAGGGGGGCTTGGCAGATGAGGAGGCCCGGGCCCTGGGAGGGCGCAGGATGGGGACCCCATGCCTGAGTCCCCAGGATTAGCTGCAGGAGGGAGGAGTATCCTTTGGGATGAAGATGGAGCATGGGCTGCTCTGGCTTCCTTCCCTGGGCAGTGACTCCGCACATTCCTCCCACCCCCGAGTCCTACAGACTTCCCACAGCGAAGGGCTCCCAGAGCATCCCCCCTCCCGCGTCCTTCCAGTCCCCGTGCAGTGATGCTCCAGAGACACCGAGTCCGCACCCTTCATCTGATGGCGTGGCCCTGCCCGGCTCGGACCCCCCAAAGCCTGCCCCCGTCTCTCCAGCTCGGCCCTCAGGCCCAGTCCCTCGTTTCCCCGGCTCTCGGGTACATTGCAACCAGCATTCATCCTGCATCCTGCATCCACCCACCCACCCATCCACCCATCCATCCACCCACCCACCCATCCACCCATCCACCCATCCATCCATCCATCCACCCATCCACTCATCCATCCATCCATCCATCCCTCCTTCCCTTCCTCTGCGTGGCCCCATTGGAGGGATGCTGGGCTTACATGAGGGACCGCACAGGGACGGGCGAAGAAACTGGCCCTAGAGAGACCGAAGGACTTGCCCAAGGTCACACCGGTGATAAGTGACTCGAACTCAGGTCCTAGTCTGCAAAGATAGAGTCCCCAGGTCCCAGAGTCTTGCCTCAGTTAGATAAGACGCCCACAGGGAGCATTCACTTGAGCCTCCCTTTTGGGGGAAGGGGCGTTACATGACCAAGCCCTGCCTCCCCACACCCCGTGAGCACCTGGGGGGGTGGGGAGGAGTGACTGAGATCCTGTCAAAGGCGAAATTGCAACCTGGGTCTCCCGAGTCCGATGACAACAACAGTTATAATTATGAAAAATCGCTGGTCCTAGACTCCTGAGGGCACGGACTACTTTCGCTTCTGTCTTCGTAGTCCCAGCGCCCAGCACAAGGCCGGCATCCTACAACGGCTGGAGACTTGGGAGTTAGCGGGCTACCGGCGTGCCTCGGGGCTAGTCCGTGGTCCACTCGGAGCCTCGGCTTCCTCATCTCTAAGCTGGGGGTGGCGGTATCGACCTGCTTCAGAGGGCTGGTGCTGGATTAAAACAGCGCTTTGCTAATGTGAAACACCCCTCCCCCCAATAAATTTCTGTTTACAAATAACTACTCCCATTTTCTTGGCGCTTAGAGATCCCCAAAGCACGCTGACGCCTGAGTAGGGAATGCTGGGTGGTTAGCATGCCCGTTTTACAGACTGGAAAACAGAGGCTCAGAGCAGGTGGTTCTGGGATTCGAACCCGCCTCTCCTTTCGAGTCCCAATGGAGGAGGTAGATTTGCGTGGCTCCTTTAAGGCCCCTCCCTTTTAGGCAGGTCCAAACCACGCCCGGGGGCGGGCGCGGCCCCTCCCCTGGCTCTGGTCTCGGGGCTGCCCTAACCGACCTCAGTGTGAGCGATGGGGCCGGGGCTGCTGCAGCGCGTGCCTGGGCTGCTGCGGGCTTCGGGGCTGCGTTGGGGACGATGTCGGAGGGCGTTCAGCGTGCGGGCGGACGGCCTGCTGCTGCGCCAGGTGAGGACGGGGGCCCGGATGCCTGGTGCCCAGGATTCTGGATGCTGGAGGAAAGGGGGAGGATGGAGGGGGTGGGGTTCGAGCTGGGAGCGGGACCACTTCCTTCACCCCGACGTCTTCTCCTGTCCTCCGTTTCCAGCTCTTCGAAGCCAAGAGTTGTACCTACACTTACCTATTGGGGGACCGGGCCACTGGGGAGGCTCTGCTGATCGATCCCGTGCTGGACACCGCCTCCAGGGATGCTCGACTCGTCCAGGATCTCGGTTTGCGCCTCTTGTATGCAGGTGAGCCTGGCCCGGCTGCCTGGGCCCTGGAGGCAGGCAGGGGCTGGGAGGGCTGGACCCCCAATGTGCACCTACCCGGGAGAGCTTCCAGAAACACCGATCGCTGCCTGGTGGCCATGACGCGCCCCCAAGGCACCAGGATGAAAAACAGCAAATATCTGCCCCCAGGAGGTCCCTTTCTCCTGGGAGGGGATTTGCCTTAGGTTAATTCTTCCGTGGGCCGGGGGCGTGGGCCGGGGCGGAGTGCGGGAGGAGTGGAGGCGGCCCTAAGTCACCCACCCATTTACGGGTAGGATACTAGACCGCCACGTATGGGATGCTTTGGAGAAGGGAGGCAGTGGAGGCAGGGAGGTCAAGAAGAGGTCGCTGATGGCCTGGACTAGGACCGTGGTCTCCAAGGGCCCTCCCTGTTCTGACATCCTGTCCTTCCCCTCCCCCAACAGTCAACACTCACTGCCATGCGGACCATGTCACAGGCAGCGGTCTCCTCAGGTCCATGATTCCTGGTTGCAAATCTGTCATCTCCCGTCTCAGTGGGGCCAGAGCTGACCTGTTCCTGGAGGACGGTGACATCTTGACCTTTGGGCGATTTGTGAGTTGCCCAGGGTGGGGGCAGAGCCAGGGCTGATGGGTCTGACAAACAGGGTGAGGCAGGTAGAATCACAAGGGCATGGCTAAAGGGGCCATAAACACACCCTTGGCACTGGGAGTGAAGGGCAGGTGTGACCAGGGGCATGGGCATGTGATCATTAGAATCAACACATTTCCTGGGGTTAGCACAGCCCTGGGGTGGGGGAGGGGAGGACAGAAGGAAGAGGTAGTATGTGTCTGCAGTGGGCCCGGGTCTGGGAGCCGGTGACCACAGGAACACCCAGAATTTTATACAAATAATGTTTCATTACATTATATTCTGTGTGTATATGTGTGTGTGTGTAAATATATATATATGTGTGTATACACACACACTCACAATTTTCTGTATAAAAGCTCCTGTTTTTTTGCATCAATAGAAGGTTTATAAGAGAGGCATTGTGGGTGGCGGATAGACAAGTCAATGTCTTAGGGTCTCCAGGCAGCTAAGACTAGAGCCAGGCTGGAGAGAAGCTGCCAGTAGGGGGCAGGCTCCAGGCAGAGAGCCCTTAGAGGAATGGAATCAGAGATCCGACAAGAGAAAAAAATGACCTTTGGCAAATGGTTCTTTTGAAATTCTCAAGGAAGGAAGTGTGACCTTGACGTAATCCACTTTTCCCAGAGGTGGGGGAGCCAGCTCACAGTCACGCAACTAGAGAGTGCTGCATGCTCGATGTAGCAGTGGCAGGGACCTTAGCCATCACTGAGTCTGATCCACTCATTTTTACAGATGGGGAAACTGAGGCTGGATTTAAAAGGTAGATTTCCATAACGGAATTTCTTCTCCCTCCCTGAGCCCTGGAGTCCAGGTAAGGCAGGGACAGGCTGGGCCTGCTCTCATCTCTATAATCCCCCCTCAGGCCCTGGAGGCCCGGGCCAGCCCAGGCCACACAGATGGCTGCCTGACTTTTGTCCTGAGTGACCACAGTGCAGCCTTCACCGGGGATGCCCTGCTCATCCGCGGATGTGGACGCACAGACTTCCAGCAAGGTCTGGGCCCCTTCCCCCTACACACATTCTAAGACTATTTAGGATTATCTCCTGTGCCTTGGGTGGTATGAGTCCACTTGTCCTGGTCTCGCCTAGGATTGGCAAACAGGAGCATGGCTTAGCTGTGATTAGGCCGTCCTCAGGGCAGACAGAGGCTGGGGGTCACTCTCCTGATTTTCCAAATGAGGAAACTGAGGCCCAGAGAGGGAAAGGTGTTCCCCTGAGATCAGACAGCGAGGCAGGGGAGGACTCACATCTGGGACCCAGGTCTCCTGCTTCCCAACCCTAGGCTTCTTCCTTTGGAGCCCACATCTTCTCTCCATCCTCTCCCTGCCCATTGTGTCCCCTGGGGTGTTCTGTAGGGAGCTGGGTGAGGCTGCTGCTGAGCTCCTGCTCTTGGGGGGTGGGGGGTGGGAATAAACACCTACAAAGCACCTACTGTGTGCAGGATGATCTCATTTGTTCTTGGGCAGCCCCACCCTCATCCATGCTCCATGAAGACCCTCCTTTCCTCCTCCCCATCCCTCCAGGCTGTGCTAAGACCTTGTACCATTCAGTCCATGAGAAGATCTTCACCCTTCCTGGGGACTGCCTCATCTACCCAGCTCATGACTACCAAGGTGTGAGGGCTTCCTGGAGATCCCTGTGTTGGGGGAGGGAGGAGGACCTAGAAGATGTGGATGTGAGGAAACTACAGCTCCCAGAGGCCATTAGGGTACACGCAGTAGAACCACAACTTCCAGAGGCCCTTGGGGGCCCAGAACCACAATTCCCAGAAGCCCTTGGGGACTCTGAACCACATTTCCCAGAGCCTCTTGGGAACTCAAAACCACAAGTCCCAGAGCCTCTTGGGAACTCGGAACCACAGCTCCCAGAAGCCTTTGGGCCTAGAGTATTTAAGCATGGGGAGGGGGGTTTAGCTTATATGGAAGTGTTTATGGACCATTAGAGCTGTTAGAGAGCATCAGTTTTAGGACTTCATCCCTCTCAGTGGAGCTGGGATGGACCATGGTGCGTGTGAGGCATCCTTGTTGCCACTGCCCATAAAGGCACTGTAGTCCACCCAGGTGTAGCTCCTAGGGCTGATGGGATATGTAGTCCAGCATGAGATCCACCTGCCCAGGACAGCTGGCGGTGTCAATTGCACCGTGATCAGAAGTGGGACAAGCTTCAAGGGCTCTCAATGGGAACACTCCCCTTCCCCTAGGCTGAGGAGGGGGGTGTTTGGGGAAGGGAGCTGGAGAAAAGGGCTCTGGGAACCAAATGGGCACATGGGGTGACACTTGTTGGCTGACAGGGCACACAGTGTCCACTGTGGAAGAAGAGCGGACCCTGAACCCTCGCCTCACGCTCAGCTGCGAGGACTTCGTCAAGGTCATGAACAACCTCAACCTGCCCAAGCCCAAGCAGATCGGTGAGAAGCCCCGAGGTCTTGGTTGTCTGGGGGAGGTGGGATGCCTGGGACCCCTGGGGGGAGCCTGGATTCCTGGGAGCAGGAGAGAGAGAGCTTCCCCCATTGTCTCACTCTCTTCCTCCCTCTGCAGACGTCGCTGTCCCGGCCAACATGCGCTGTGGCATTCAGGAGCCCCCCAGCTGACTTCCTCATGGGGGCACCCCACAACTCAGCACCTCAGCTCCACTTGCTCCCACTGGGATGAGGTTCTAACAGTGAGAGACCCCAATCCCCCTCCACATTCTGTTAATAAAACTTTTTTTGCCCAAACCTTGGCCAGTCCTCCTTCATCTTCGTGCCTTCCCTCTGAGTCTACCCCCAGTTTATCCCATCTGCAACTTGTGTGCACGTGATTGCTTGGGCATTGTCTCCCCATCAGATTGTGAGCTCCTGGAAAGCAGAGGTTGTACTCCCAGTGTTCAGCACAGTGCCTGGCACATAATTGGTCCGTCACTTTTCAGTTGTGTCTGACTCTTCATGACCCCATCTGGGCTTTTCTTGGCAAAGACACTGGAGCGCTTTGCCATTGCCTTCTCCAGCTCATTTTACAGATGAGGAAACTGAAGCACACAGGGTTAAGTGACTCGCCCAGGTTCACACAGCTAGTGTCTGAGGTCAGATTTGAACTCAAAAAGATGAGTCTTCCTGACTCCGGACCCAGCTCTCTATGCACTATGGTGCCACCTAGCTGCCCCTGACACATAGTTGGTACTTAAAGTAGGTACCTTGATCGATTGAACCCGGATTGTCTAAGCTGGGGGCCTGGGGTCCAGGTGCCCTAGTACCATCCTTGACTCCTGATATACTTGGTCTTCATTAAGTACCTCTTCAGGGCCAGGAACTGTGCTAGGCATTGTGGTTAAAAAGAAAACATGGAACTGTCCCCCCTACCTCCCCCCATATACACACACTTCTTAAGAACTCAACTTTCTGGGAATAGAACCTAGGTTGGATCTGAGGTGGAAGGCCCATGGCACCTAGGACTTGAGAGGGGGAGGTGGGATGGTACAAGGGACAATGCTGGTTCAGAAGCTCTGGGTTTGAATCCTGCTTCTCCCACTTCCCACCCGTGTGGCCTAAGGAAACTCATGTTACCCATCTGGACTCCAATAAAATGGGGGAGTTGAACCTGATGACCGTTCAGGTCCCTTCTCGCCCTAAGGCTCTGAGTGAGGGGTCAGTCAAGTTTGTGTGATGATGGATGGGTACTGTGTGCCAGGCATTGTGCTATGCACTTTCCAAATATCTCATTTGATCCTCACAGCAACCCTGGCAGGTAGGTTCTCTTATTATTCCCATTTTCCAGCCAAAGACATGAGGCAGAGGTTAGGAGGCTGGCTTTGACTGGCCAGAGAAACTGCTAAAGAGAAGGCTTGTCTTGCTGGTGAGCACCACTAGGGAGCGCATGTTGGCAGGGTTTGTGGGGCTGACCACCGGGGCTCTGGATTCAAAGGCTCTGCCAGTTAGGGTAGGGATGGGCCAAAGGTGCCGCAGATCAGAAGGCTCTCCCTCTGGGAGCCTGGGCAGGTGCATGTGGGTGATGTTTGGGGAGGAGAGAGCTGGAAAGTTTTCATTTAAACTTCCTGTTTTTGACCAGAGAGGAAGGGTCTGGCCACATGACCTTGAACTCCTCCCTACAGTGGTCCCCCGCCCCCCATTGTGGCACAGGGACTGAGCCAGTTCTCCCCATGACTCACCACGGGGTGCCCCCCTCCTCAGGCCCCCAAACTGGTCCCAGCCCTTCCAAAACGGTCATTAGAGGGTAACAACCCCACCTCTCCACCTGCAGGCCTGGGTCCACAGGGGACAGGAAGTTAGGGGCTGGGACACAAGAAACTTGGTCTCCGAAGCTGGAAAATTGGATGTTTCTGTTCTTCAGGGTTTGGGGGCTCCATGGAGGGAAGGGGACACCTGAAGGCCCTGAAGAGGGCCTCTTAAAGACCAGATGCCTGGGTCTTCTGGGTGGGGCCTGAAATGTTCACACACACCCCCGTCGTCCCTGTGGGGAGGGGGGACCAGGACGCCTGGTTCCCAGGGTGTGGGCACTGGAAGGGCCAGATACCTGGTTTCCTGCAGAGCTGTCAGACCTGTTCTCTCTCCTCCTTTTTCTCCTCCCACTTCCCCCGACCCCACCCTGCATCCGGGCTCCTGCAGGGGGGCGGCCCCTCCCTCCTCCCCCACCACCTGTCCCGTGGGCAGAGGCCGGGGCTCTGGGAACAAGGAGAGGCCTGCGGAGGAGGCAAAGCGGGTGAGGGGGCTGGACACCTGGGGCTCTGAGGGTGCGGGGGCTAGGGATTGGGCCAGCTGAGTTCCAGAGGGGGTGGCTGAAGGATCAGGACGCCTGGGTCCCTCAAGGGGCAAGGGGAGGGGTTTAAGGCACCTGGGTCCCTGAAGAAGTGTGTGTATCTTTGCTAATCAGAATGCCAGGGTCTCTGGGTGGTGAAGAGAGAGGAAGCCCCAGTCCCAGCAGGAGAGCCCTGGGTACCTAGACCTCTGGGTCGGTAACGGTCAGAGTTAGAGGTGGTCGGCCTCCTGGGAAAAGGGGGCTTCCCGGGCATTTCTCTAGGCCAAGGGCTGGTTGAGGTAAAGAAGTGAGCGGGTTTGGTAGGATGGAACCAAGTTCCGGCAAGGATCGGCGATCTGAGCCTCCGGAGCAGGCGCTGACCCAACCCTGCTGGGCCTCAGCCCCTCAGCACCCCACTCGCGAAGTGCCCGCCTTAGGTCCCTCCTCTGGAGCCTTCCGCAAGCCTCCGGTCCCGCCCCTAGCTCATCTTAGAGCCCGCCTCGAGCTCTGGCTTGGTTCCTGAGTCCGTGCGGTCCCACCCCCTGAGCCCTCTGCCCAATCCCGGAGCCCCTCCGAGCAGCCGGGCTGAGCCCCCTCTCCCTTGTCGGAGTGCCTCATATCTTCCCTTACACCCTTACGCAGTCCCTGAGTCCTTCCAGTCCACCCCCTGAGCTCCCTCGTCCTTCTCGGGGTACCATAGGCCACACCCCCTGAGCCCCCTTGTCCTCGGGGTATCGTGAGTCTCGTTCCTGAGCCCCTTGCCCAATCCCTGAGCATCCTTGCTCCTCCATCTCGGAGTCCCCAGACTCTTGTCTCAAGTCACTGAAGCCTCGCCCCCAGAGCCGAGGAGGAGAGCCCTGCCCTAAGTCCCTTCTCCCCCCAGCAGCCCCCGGAGCCTGGGCCGAAGGCAGTCCCGGAGAAGAGAGACATGGGAATCCCAACGAGCCCCGAGGACGGGAGCCAGGAGGGGTCCGAGCGTCCTCAGGGCCAAGCCGAAGTCGGGGAGACCGGCGAGCAAGAAGTCTCCGAGGCCCCAGGCGCAGCCGGCAGGGAAGAAGAGGAGGATGAAGAGGGGAGCAGTACGGAGAGCGGTCGGGACCAGGTGAGAGCCAGAGACAGGGAGGCAGAGACCCAGAGACTGGGAAACCAGAGACACAGAGAAATACTGAGACACGGGGGCGCAGAGCCAGTGAAAGCGACAGAGAGAGACGGGGGATGGGAGACACGGAGACCCGAGAAACACAGAGACTGAGAAACCCAGAAACACTGAGACAGAAAGCCAGAGATACAAAAGTCCAAGACACAGAGAAACACTGAGTCACAGAGAGCAAGTGTGAGACGCAGAGATAGAGACAGAAACTCAAAGACTGGAGACGTGAAGAGATACAAAGAAACAGAGATACATCGAGACATAGGCACAGGGAGCTAGACTGAGAGACAGGGATAGAGACAGACTGAGAAACCCAAAGACATAAAGACGCGACACACCGAGAGACACAGAGACAGGCAGCCAGAGAAGCTGAGAGACACCGATATAGAGACAGGCTGGGGAACTCAGGGACAGCGATACAGAGACAACCAGAGACAGAAAGACACAGAGACTGTCAAGACAGAGAGACGGTGACCTAGACACCCAGACGGACCCGAGACAGACCAAAAATGACAAAAAGAGGGAGACCCAGAGATCAAGCAATGAGAGGACGTCCCTCTCCCGGCAGGGCGAAGCCCCACCCCTCGTGCCACCCCCTGTAGAGGGGCCACGAGGTGCAGCCCGACGTCTGAGGGGGCAGCAACTGGAGGCGCTGACCCGGGTGGCCCTGATGGAGCAGAGGGTCAAGGAGCTCCAGCAGCAAAGGAAGGAGCTGAGGATAGAGGTGTGGACCCAGGCGTCCTGCTTACCGCAGCCCTCTCCACTCAGGGACCCCGGCTTCCCCCCTCCCAGCTCCTTCCCCCAATCAACAGACACCCAGCTCCCCAAAATCCCTCTCCTGGGGCCCCGGGCTTCTCTGACCTCCCAGCCCCTTCCCCTAGTCACCCAGACACCCTGTTCCCCAAAATCTCTCCCCTGGGGATCCCGGCTTCCCCGACCTCCCAGCCCTCCTCCCTCAGGTACCCAGGCATCATACTGCCCCTAGTCTCCTCCCCTCATGCACCCAGAGATCTGGCCCTCAGCTCCCCCTGTCCCCCCACCCCAGATGGAGGTAGAGGTGGCTTTGCTTCGAGGGGAGCTGGCTGGCGAGCGAGTGGCTGCCCGGAGGGAAGAGGAGCATCTTCAGGAGCTGCAGAGACAGCAGGAGGCAGCTGAACAGAAGGCTGGGGAGCAGAGGGAACAGGTGTGTGGAGGAGGGGCCGTGGTCCTGGGGAGAGGGTGGGGGTGGGAGTGAGACTCCCTCTGCCTCTCATCTCCTGTCTACAAAAGGGAGTCTGTCTCTGAGTTCCCCAGCCTGTCTCTATATCGGTGTCTCTCAGCTTCTCTGGCTGCCTGTCTCTGTGTCTCTCGGTGTGTCGCGTCTTTATGTCTTTGGGTTTCTCAGTCTGTCTTGTTCTCCTGTTGCAGAGATGAAAAAAACTGAGGCACAGAGAGGGATTCAGCATGCTAAAATCACAGGGCACACAGCAGTGGCAGAGCCGGGATTAGAAACCAGCTCTTCTAAGGTCCCAAGTCCTTACATTTGGGCAGTGAGACTACAGGGACATAGGTATAACACTGAAAGCAAATGACCTAGAACACGAGGGCTTGAAGGGACCTTAGAACAGAAAGCATGGAACATTAGAGCAAGGTTAGGACCTTGGGGAGCCTCACTATACGGAGGAGGGAACAGGCCCGAAGAAGGCCCTGGCTTTGGGTCCTGACATCAAACTCAATGTTCTTCACACTCCACCATGACGCTAGGGTGATTCTGGAGGGCAGTAAAGCCCAGAAAGGTGGCGACTTGGCCACCGTCATGGAGCACTCAAGCGATGGGTCTCCAAAGGAAGCATGGAGGGACTCCCCCTCACAAGGGGGCACTGAGGCAGAGAGGGGCAAGGACTTGTACAAGTTCACACAGCTAGCCTGGCACCAGCACCCAGGTGTCCCGATTCCCGTTTCAGGCCTCTTTCTTTCCCTCCCTTTCTAGGGACCTATCAGATTTTGGCCAAGTACCTGCCCCTCTCCCGGCCTGCTTTCTCACGTGGAAAGTGTGTGGGTAGGGGTTGGAAAAGGGGAAAGTGTAGTTGTAATAGGTGATGTCTAAGGGAAGGGCCCTTCCTTATTGAAATCCTGGGACCTGTGATGGCAAATGACTTCGGCATCTTTTGGCCGGTGAGGGGTTTGGAGAAACTCTAAGAGCTTCGGTCTCTGCTTCTTGGGGTTTGTCCTGCCAGGAACAGCAGCGTCTTAGGGAGGCCCGGGCCCGGGTGGAGGCTCTTCGGCTGAAGCTAGAGGAGGCTCAGGACAAATTGGACTCAAAGCCCGAGGGTGACAGGGAGGAGCTGTTGAAGGGGGTCCAGGAGGTAAGTGAGTGCTTCCCCCCACCAGGACCTAGGCATCCCAACCCCCAACCTAATTCCACTTAGGGGCCCAGGCTCTCCGGTCCCTCATTCTTCTCAGGGTCCCAGGCTTCCCCATTCTCTTCAGGAACCCAGGCTTCCTAATCCCCCAGCCCCTCCCTCCTCCCCAGGTCTCTGAGCAGTTGGAAGCTGCCCAGCGTTCCTATGAGGATCTAGAGTTCCAGCAGCTGGAGAAGGAGAGTAGCCGTGAAGAGGAAGTGGACGGGTCAGGGCACCAGGGGCTGGGCCCCAAGGTCCGAGAACTACAAGGAAGCCTGGCCCAGCACAGGGTGAGCCCCAGCAGAGCCCAGCCTTCCTCGCCCTTCCTCCCTCAGCCTCTCCCTGTTTCTGTCTCTCTCACTCCGTGTTTGTGTCTTGTCTCCCAATCCCTTGGCCCCTCTATGGGCATCTCCATACATGGAAAGGGCAGCCTCAGGAGGAGGTGGGCTCCCCGTCCATCCTGGAGGTCTTCAAGCAGAGGCCAGAGGACCACCGATTGGATGCAGTCTACTGAGCTCTCTTCCAATGTCCCCCCTGTGATTCTGTGAGGTGTGGGTCTGGTCCGAGGTCTGAAACCAGGCAGGATGCTTGGGTCTCTCTGCAAATCTCTGAGTCTTGGGAATCTTCTCAGCGTCGAATCCAGGTCCTAGAGGAACAGCTGGGGTCGCTCGGGGAACAGATGGCAGCTGAAAGCCGTGGCTTGAGCCGAAAGAAGGAAGAGGCATTGCAAGCCTTAAGCCAGGTGACTCCAGAATTCCCCAGCCCAGCCCTGAAGTCCTATCAAGTCCAGCAGGACAGGCTTAAAGGAGTCTCCCATTGGGAGGCCCTCAACACTCACTGGCTTATGTGACTGCGGTCAAGTCATTTCCTATCTAGCCTCATTGTTCTCTGCTGTGAAATGGGGCTAAGAATCCTTTACATGCCCTAGGGCAAGGGTTCTTGGGGGCCCTCAGGTTCTGAGATCCCCTGCCAACTTCCTGAATTCTCCCTCCACCCAGGAGAGGCACCGGCTTCTAGAACTCAACCATTTGCAGGGGACCCAAAGTGGAGATGGCAGTTTCTCTGAGCAGAGCAAGGCCCTAACCAAGGTAATCCAAACCCCCCACCCCAGGCATACAAGAATCCCCGTGCCACTCTCTCGCTTTGGGCTGACCCTCCTCCTCTGTCCAGCTCCTGTTCACCCAGAAGACGAATCGCCACCTCCTGGTCCTACAGGATTCCTCGGCCCCAGCATCGACCGCCGCCTCCTCCTGCCTCTTCTCTGTGCACAGCTCTCTCCAGGTGGGGAGAAGTGGGGGAAACCTGGGGCTAAGACCCAGAGGCTGGCAGGGTGAGGGGAGCGGACCCCAAGCTGATGCCCTCCTACTTCTGTTTCCCTTTCCTCTCTCCCCCTATCTCCTCTCCTTTTCTGTCTTGTCCTCCCTTTTCTTCATCTTCCTCTCCAGGGCTCCTTTGGGCTCCAGAGGACAGGCAGTTTGCCTCGGAGAAAGGGAGACCGGGCCCGACAGAGGGGATCTACACGACCCCTGTCCCTGCACTGCAGCCGTGAGTGTCTTGTCCCCCACCAAAGAGGACTCTGGGAGCAAGGATGGAGAAGGGGTGCAGGTGGGGTGCAGGCAGGAAGGGGATGAATCCTCTAAGTCTCCTTCCTCCCTTTTAGGGCCCCTGGAGGCCTCTGCCCTGCAGCCCCCTCCAGGCGACCCCCAGAGACATGCTCTGTGCCAGCTGCTGAACTGTAGCCCTGGAACCAGGTGAGAAGGAAGGAGATGGAAACAGGAGTAGGGCAGAGGAGGGAAAGGCTCCGTCTGGGGGACAGGGCTGGTACTCCCGAGCCTGTCCTGTCTTCCAGCTGTGGAGTGCCCCATCCTGATATCATCCGAATGGAGAAGCTGCTCCAACAGGCCGTGGCAGAACGGGAGAGGCTGCTCCAGGCCCGGGTGAGAGCCAGGGCTTCTCATGTCCTCAGGGACCCTGACTGGAGGATGCCTCTCCTTCCAGATCTCTTAATCACCCCGGGGTCAATCTCCTGGCCCCTTAAGGACCTGGGTGCTTTGCCCCCCATCTCTCTGAGGGACCTGATGTCTGGATCCTCCAGTCCCCAACTGCACTGATCCCATTCCCTGACCCCCTCTGCCCGTGGTCCCATTTCTGCCTTTGCTGGCGCTGGGCATGGGCCCTCAGGTTTGGGGGGCTTTGGTCCTCACTGATTCTCCTTCCCACTCTGACCCCCACAGGAAGGAACTAAGAGGAGCAAAGAGGAAGCCAAAGCTACTCCAGCCATCATGGTCAGTGACCCCCCCCCCCCAAGCCCCCTGGCCAGCCCCTTGATTCCCTGCTGCCTTCTGTCTCCCCATCCTCTTGTGCATCTGGGTCCCTCCCGAGCCATCCCTGGCCACCCAGGCGCTCTCATTCCACCCCCCCTTCAGTCTCCACCTCCACCACCCAGCTCAGCCTCCCCCCACCCCCAGCTTTAGATCCTATGAAATGAGGATGACTCCACCTTTCTGAAAGTGTTTCCTCCACTGTAAAGTGGAGAGTCCCTGACCTACCTGCCCCACCTCCCACACAGGCTTGGTGGCACAAATTTTAGTTTAATAAACTCCAAGGAAGCCATTGGTAGAACCCAGCCCCCCCCCCCCCCCCCCCCCCCCCCACCTGCGCCCCCCCCCCACCAGCCAGACTAGCGCCATACTTCTATTCCTCATTGCTTTTGGACCCTGTTCATGTCTCCCCTTCATTCAGGCCCCTCCGCCACCCCCGCCCCCCCCACCGCCACCCCGACCTCCAGGCCCCCGGGTTCTGGACTTGTACCAGCACCTGGAGCGCTGGGGCCACAGCCCCGAAAGCTGCCCTCATGTTCGAGTGACCAGCGGCTGCTGCCGGGGGCCGCTGGTGAAGGTGGGGGGCCGGATCAAGACTTGGAGGAAGCGATGGTTCTGCTTTGACCGCCATGCCCGCCGGCTGGCCTACTATGCTGGTGAGGGGTGACCCTTCCTTCCCCACTGCCAAGCTCACCTCTCCTCATTTCCTTCAGGGATGAGGTGTGACCTTAGCTAAGCTGGTCTCCTCTTAAAGAGCAGGCTAGATGATCCCTCTAAAATCCTAAAACCTGGGTTCTAAGGCCTGGCTCTGCCTCAGTTTCCTCCTCTGTAAAATGATCTCTAAGCTCCCTGCTGGCTCTCAACTCCAGGCTCTGATGACCCAACCCCTATCTACGCAATCTTAAGGTCCTTTGACCTCCACTTTGGACCCTGATCTCAGCCTCCACCTTTGGGCCCATTCCCCACCCACCATCCTGACGCTTGTAGTGACCGACTATTAACTCAGCCTCCGAGCCTTTCCTCCCTTTCACCACCCCAGAACAAAACAAACAAAACCCCTCCCTATTCTCTCCATGTCTCAGACAAAGAAGAGACCAAACTCAAAGGAGTCATTTACTTCCAAGCCATAGAAGAAGTGTATTATGACCACCTGCGATGTGCCTTCAAGGTGAGCTTCCTTCCCCAGGTCAGAGCTCTGGAGTACTTTTGGAGTACTTGGAGTACTTTTTTTTTTTTTTTTTTTTTTTTAGTTAGGCAATTGGGGTTAAGTGACTTGCCCAGGGTCACACAGCTAGTAAGTGTCAAGTATCTAAAGTCACATTTGAACTCAGGTCCTCCTGACTCCAAAGCCAGAGCTCTAGCCAAAAATACTTGGGCTGCCCCCACCAGCTCCTCTTGCCCCAGGACAGCTGAGAGCCTTAGAGGGGGTGGCAGGAGACCCCGGCACCTTGAGACCTCGGTGTCCCCCACTGGAAAATGGGAACCATGGTCCCTCCCATCTCTGACATGTCTCTTCCAGCCCTGACATCCTGTTGGTACCAGGCTCATTCTGAGCCCTGCATTCTGAATCAGAGGTCCAGGGTGTGAGTGCTATTTCTGCCCGGTAGCCTTGGGCACGTCATTGCTTCTTTCTGGGCCTCAATCTCCCCAGAGTGTTGGACTAGGTCTCTCCAGCCCCGCCCTGCCCCAGCTGACTTTGTAGGAGGCCCCCGCGACCCGCACCTCCTCTAAATACACCCCCTGAACCGCCCTTGGTGGTGGTGGTGGTGGTGGAGGGGCTCGGTCACCGCAGGTCCCAGATAACTCAGTGTCGGTAAGGGCTGGGGTCCGAGAGAAGAGCCACCGAATTCACACTCCTTCATCCTTCAGAGCCCCAGCCCTCGCCTGACATTCTGCGTCAAGACCTACGAGCGCCTCTTCTACATGGTGGCCCCCAGCCCAGAGGCCATGCGCATTTGGATGGATGTCATCGTGACCGCTGCAGATGAGAACCACGCCCCCTGATCCAGGCCGGCCCAAGTCCCCCAAAACCCCACCTCTTCCGAACTTGCCCCAACAGCGCCCGGTCCACTGCCTAGTATTGTCACAGCCCAGGTCTTCTTTGCCTCTCTGGGCCTCACTTTCCCCATCTGTAAAATGAGGGTCAGACGAGCTGACCGCTGAGGTCCCTTCCAGCTCGATCCCAGATGCCATGAAAATGCTCCCAGTGAGGCCCCACCCACTGCCCAACGTTTAAAGCCCGGGCATTCTAGTCCTGGTAACATTCCCGGGGAGGCCCCGCCCCCTGCCGAACGTTCGTACCCCCAGTGTTCTATTCTGTGTAACTTTCCGGAGAGGCCCCGCCCCCCGCCGAACGTTCGTACCCCAGTGTTCTATTCTGTGTAACTTTCCCGGGGAGGCCCCGCCCCCTGCCGAACCTTGGTATCCACAGTGTTCTAGTCCTTGTAACTTTCCCGGGGAGGCCCCGCCCTCTGCCGAACGTTCGTACCCCAGTGTTCTATTCTGTGTAACTTTCCCGGGGAGGCCCCGCCCCCTGCCGAACGTTCGTACCC